CTTCCGTGATATGTCACTTAATTTATATGCATGAATTGTGGAAAATGAGACGAAAATCATTTCAGTGAAGATTTACGTTTCAAATATTAGCCATTGTGAAATATAAATGCTTTGACTAAGTATATTGTCAACATGTTCCACCCAAATGATCTAGTAGTTTCGACTGGAATCTTGTAATAAATCAAGCATAGTTACAAAAATAAAAACAGACTATCTGTTCAGTTCTAACAGATTTTCAATTCTTCCCATATTTTATGTCAATCCATGATGAGAAATGTCAGTAATATTATTTAATTGATGTATACATTATGCTTAGTACATATTGGCTTTAATGAACAATTTTTGTCATTTACCCTGTTGTTATTTATATTACATATTTATCATCATGTTTGTTAAATTCAGAGAGTGAGAGAGGAAGGAAGGAATGCGTTGCTCCCTGATTGACTATAGAATAAGGTGTTGTTATTATTTTGCATTTCAGTGGGAATATGCAAGATCCTTTTGATGTGTATGTGCTTGTATTTGTGCGAAAATTCCTCCATGCACAAATTTCCTGAGGTTATATTTTCTTGTTTCCATTTCTTACTTGTAGCGTTACTTGTAGCGTTACTTCTACCGGTCTCTTTATTCAAGCATACTTTGTTTATCCTTTGGTTTGCTTATAATTATTATAGAGAATTGTTTTTACATTTTCTGGATGTTGTTATTTTATTACATTCCCACGTTTACCTACCTAATATCTCGATTCCTGGCGGGTACCATAATAAGTGACAGTGTTCGTTACTAAATCTGTTAAAATGTTGACTGGTTTAATAAGTACCCTATTTTCTGTTGCTTAGGAAAGTTTATTACTTTAAACAGACAATTAAGTGTAATTTATCTTGCATCTTTTATAAGGTTGTTACTTTATGATTAACTGCTCACTTTTGAAGCAAATCAATCCATTATAATCTTGTTCATTTTTTTCTGAACAGAACGCTGTTCTTGAGTTGTTAGAACCATTTTTACTCAATAACAAGTAATTATTCATGTGCTTAACGTTTTAGTCGTTTATTGTTCGATACGTAAACATCAAAAGTGCTGTTGTATGTATGATTGTACATATCTGGAGGAAATAATACTCAACACTACATGTTTGCACTATTTTATATGGTTTCGTACGTTAGAATACGAAAATTATTTCCTGTCATCGTTTCACTAAAGCGTTGCGCGGCCAAGTCCTACTCGTATAACTGCGAATTTCGGATTTCGTAATTATTCAATTGATAAATTTTTTAGGAACAAAATTCAGTATTGGTTAAACTGATAGAGTATAACAATGGCAAATATACGTATGCATATATACATAAATGGTTGCTAGGTCACAATTTGTATGAAAGAGTTTTGGTAGTCTTTGAATTTTCACAGATTAGACCAAAAACTGATTTTATCTAAACCACCATTGAGAACCTGGAAGCGCTGTACGGTGATTTCATCCTCTTATGGGACTTCTCAGCAGTGCGCTTGCCCGATCTCGTATGTGGGATTTGTACACTGGTCCTTGGATCTCGCGCGCGAACTCCTGAGCTCCAGACCACTGATCTGACATCCAACGGTGGTAATGTCTAACTCCAATCAATCCACCATATTTTTAATCATGCTGAATGTGAGGCAGTTATCCAAAGCAAGTAATGAGTGAGGGTTGCGCAATACCATAGATTGATCGAATTTAGACAGATACCGTTGTATGCCAACTCATTGGTCTAGAGTTTAGGCTTTCGCACGCGAGAATGCAGCTTCATAGATGTTCATCACTGAGGTGTACCATACTAATACAAAACTGGCGTCCAGTGCTTCCAGATTCTCATTGGGGGTCTAGCCAAGACAAGTTCTTAGTTTAAGGTATGAAAAGGCGTTATTTGTTCATTTCAAGTAGTTTACAGAGTATAATCTTTTAAAATCATAAAAAATTACATATGTACGTATAAATAACTGACCACACTTAAATATGGAGGTTGTTGAGTTAAGGTTGATATCATGAATGAATTAATGTTAGACCACCATTGAAAACCTGGAAGCATTAGAAGGCCGTTTCGTCCTAGTATGGAACTGTTCAACAGTTCGTATTTACGACCTCACACGTGGGACTCAAACCCAGGAACTTCCGTCTAGCACATGAACACTTAACCTCTAGACTACTAAGATAAAACAACCTTTCAATATTTTCAGGTTTTTAGTGATGGTCTAACATTAATTCATTCATAATATCAAACTGAATTTTATGTGTCTTCATAGCTTTTAACGTATTACATATATCATTTCCAAATTGTAGTTGAACTTTTACGGTCGGGATCAGTCATGCAGTTTTGAATTTCTATTGATAAAGAAGAGATCGAGAAAAGAAGAGGGGTGAAAAATATGAAATCTAGAGATTTAGATAATCTCTGGTATATTAATTGAAATATATCCTAAGAGGGTGTATTCTATGATTGTATATCAGTTATGCGAATGGAAGGTCTCTACTCAAGTTCTACAAGAATAGGATAATTTTATAGTTTACATCTGGAATTAAGTACCTAATCTTGCTTTTCCTATTTCTTTAGTATCTGGCTAGAACAAATGAAATGTTACCAAGTTTGTATATTATAGGAAAAGATTACAGAAATATGTAGTGAAGTCATTATTGTACGGGTCAGTCCATGACGTACCAGTGATCGATTCATATTAGCTATTTTTGATCCTAAACGTACTTGTTGAATTTTTCGAAATACAATGATCTATTGTCGAACTTTGAAACGGTTCAAGTTGATAATATGATTTACCGAGAGTTCAGTAGTATTTCGCTTTCTCCAAATAGTGTAACATTTCTTATTATACCGCTATATAATCTGCACTTCCAATTTGACAAAGGATTTTGTAACCTGGTATGTGAATAATTATCATCGTTAAACCTACTCATCTCTCATAGATGTAAATATTCTTTTCCTGTAGTGTATCATTCTATATGCATATGTTTGCTTCTTGGTATCTTTGTGTGTCCAGTTATTTACTTATACTTTGTACACTGTTTATATGGTGATGTAAATTGAGTTGCATTTAGCCTAACAATTTTAACTCCGATCAGTACTCCATATTACGTACGGTTATGAATTCTTCAATCCATTCTCTCATTTGCGAATGCTTAAAATATATGTCCCTTCAACACTATTCATAGATTAACTTTTAATATCGCGTTGTATAAGCATATTTAATCAAGGAATATACATAATAGTAAGATATCAATACCATTATTGAAGCTAAATGTGGCGACATAATGGTGTATACGTGTAGTAATAAATGTAGACTAACTTATCAGTATATGAATTTGTTATCATATACCTTTTTCATGGTCTATTAGTTGAAAAGTTAACTAAGCATACATTTCACGGCATTAAGAGTTTGTCTCCCATTATCTTCAGAGGGTAAATGTTTCAAGTTCGAAATGGTTTAACTCTACTGGTTACGGCTTTAGTGAACAGAACATGGGTGGGGACAACCGAATGTATTTAACACAACGTTACAGGACGTGTTAATAAAATCTAACAATCATAAAGTAAATGTTAATTTGCAAAATGTCCACCAATTGTCTCAAAATGACTCAGACTTCATTGTTCTTGCATTTTCATACAAATTGCATTCTGTTTCTGTTCTTTACTGTTCGATCCTCTTGTCTCTCTGCTGCCAGACCTTCTATTTACGACTAACATCATATACTACTTATGTCAATATAAATAGCACACACCACACGGCCTCTTACTAGAAAGTTTCATTTTGAAGCTCTTCACTAGTTAACAAATGATAGTTGTCAGTATGGAGATACCAGCTCAGTGGTCTAGAGGTTAAGCATTCATACACAGAACTCCAGTTTCTGGATTCGATCGCCTGTATTGTGGCTATAGATGATCACTCTACTAAGAAGTTTCATTGGCAATCCAACTAACATTAGTTCATGATTTAAATTATTCGAATTCAACAATTTCCACCAACCCCATCCTCATAATCATATAATTGGTTCGGTGATAAAGTTCTCTTTTCTTCTCTTGTTTAAATAATAACTTACCTGTGTATTTACTCATAAATAATATCAATATTGTTGAAATGTATCTATGTGTGTGTGCGTGTGTGTGTGTAGTTTCTTTCTACCAAATAAATATAATTTATTCTCACCTTTGTTATTGGTCTAATTAACTATAAAACAACATTCTTGTGATTGTTTTCTCTCATATTATATTTTTCCAAAATCTATTTTGTTTCTAAGTTGATTTAAATTTTTTCTTTTCCTTTCACTATAACTAATGTATACAGTCAATCAGAGTTTTATGCCTTTAACAATATCATTGAAATATGTTTACCATTATTCTTTATTGTCATTACTATCATTATTACTATCAATAATAATAATAATAATAATAATAATAATAATAATAATAATAATAATAGTGTGAATATTAGCGGAGGTAATAATACTAGTGACAAGAGGCTTGAAAATTAGAAAAAGATTTCCATCCATCTGATTGGCTAATTAAATTAACCAATCAAAATGATGCAATGAGTTATATTCATTTTTTTTTTGTTTCATGTTTTCATTTTTACTTACTCTGATTATTACAAATAAGAATAATTTTTGAAGGAGATTTTTCTTTTTGGATAGTCATTGTCATTATTGTTGGTACTTTGTGTAGTACCATTGTTTAGTTCAATAAAGGGATAGATATCCAGATATGAGGTGGAAGTTTACATTGTTATATATACTTATTCCATAATTTCACAAGAATGATGCAAATATATGAGATAGAATTCTTATCTTCTACATTTAAAGATTAAATTTGAGAAAGAGTTATGTTGAATGAAAGTGTTTCAGTTCATTGATTCATTGAAAGAAATCATGAACTTTAATGTAAATTATAATCATTATTGGAATAATGATAGTCACAGTTATAATAATAATGATAATAATAATAATACTAATAGTAATAATAATAATGCAGATTGGGAAATATTTCACATTGAACGATACAAATTTCTATGGGATATTTGTATTACAAAAACAGATATATGATGTAACTATTTCGTCACAATATTATCATTATCTTCATCAGTTGAAATTAAATATATTATGTGTGAAAATTATTTTAAGTATTTTATTTGGCATAGTATGTTTGAATATGTTAAATGGTACATTGAATTGTTCCCAATCTAATCATCATTATGATAGACAGTATCATAATCAATTCATTTATAATTCGAATAGATTAAAAGAGTTTAAAAAATGGGATTCTATTGTAATGATTACAATAACAATATATAATGAAATATTAGATTCTATTGAAAAGATCATTAATTCTATGAGAATTTATGATCCATTTATTATTCCAACATGTTATGGTTCATTATTTCAAGAATTAGTTAACTTATCTCATGTTATTGAACGTAAAGGTGAGATATAATAATTGATCATATTGGTAAAGTTTACTTTTATAATGTAATATGTCTATTATACGTTTTGAGATAAGTTAGAGTAGGTTGACTGTAAAAGAAACAACAACTTATGTAGTTTATATCTAGATATTCATATCTTAAACTTCATTTACATATTTCTTGTAGAGAACTAATGGCGAGACTATAATTTATGGACAATCTTTGAGCAACACCAAAGTGACCTTGAGAATGTTCACCTAATAATTAGGACCGAATGAGGGTTATAAACCAGCGTTAGGAATTAGAATTATGATTTACAGTTGATGGTTAGGATTGAGAATCAGATTTAGAGTTTTCATTACAAACTAACATCAACTATAATGCGAAAACTCTATTTAGCCAAATAGACGAATGAATTTCGTGCCAAAATCCGAGACTTGTTATCTTATACTTGATCGGTTCGTCCATAAATGATAATCTTGCCGAACTAACTTTAGTCTTTTTACTCCGCTAAATTATTTGATAGGTTAACTGATTAGTTTTTGCTTAGAATCATTTGTTTGATTGGTTTCCGTTTCACTTCATTTTAAAATTGTATTGAATCATTGAAATGGATTGAATAAGTGAATCAATATTCATTATTGTTTCCACAAAGTTATGGAACCTACAAATCGTTTCGTATTCATTTCAATGAATAGTCTACTTCAAATGAGTCTATCTAGTTGAAAATAATATAAAGTTTCATTTATGTTCACCTAACTAATTCATATTTCAATCATTTGTTATACAGTTACAATCAAATCAGTTCGTTTCACTCATGCAATGTGTATTTCATGTTAGTCATTCAATCAAACCTAAAAGATATGTATTTATTTTGAACCTAAATGAATATCATGAATGGATCAATGTTAGACCACCATTGAAAACTAGGAAGTATTGGGTGACTCATTTGGTCTTAGTATAGGACCCTTCAATAGTGTACATTCACAATCCCATACGCGGGATTCGTTCATTTCGACTTGTAATTTTTAAAATTAAAGTTCTTTCTCCCAATTCGCTTGCTGAGTTTATTCTTAGAAAGTTCGAATTTGGCCGGACTTTTCAAGCCGTCAATTAAAACAAAACTTTTAAAACTAAGAAAATACCAGCAATTATTGAATACAGATTTAAAACTCCTTATTATTACTATTTTTCTTCATAATTTCTAATTTCTCTACATAAATAATAGATATCAATACGTTAATTATGGGGACTGTTGAATTCCTTTGAAACCACCGATCTAAGTTAGATGAATACTGAATACCTAGAAGCACTAAAGTTCTAGTTAAAAGCCTTAAACACAGAGTTTCAAATTGATCTTCTATGAGGGAGGTATTCATCAAAAATAATAAAAGATACTAGCGTAATATCGTTAATTGGTTAAAATTAAACCTATAAACCTTTGTATCCCAGCTCAGTGGTCTAGAGGTTACATGTTCTGGTCTTAGGTTCAATGATTTCGGTAATGATTTCGCGAATGCATACTCATATAAGGATAAATTGATTGAACAGTATTTCCACGTTCTCAATGGTTCAGTAATTTAGATCACTTCATGATTTCAATTAAATATAATTACTTATTCTCCAAAATAAGGTATAACAATGTAGATTATTTATAGACTGTCATAAATTGTGAACAATCTATCCTACTTTTACAAATATTCTATTTGCATGTTATTCAATCATTAGTTAGTAATTGGAATCATCTTGAATATTAAGATCAGTTTGACTACAAATACTCCATATAAAATAAAACTACACACACTACAAAACTACACATTAGCTTATGTGTGTATCATTTAGCATTGTATGAAAAAGATATGGCATTTATGATGTCTATTATCCAACATGAGCTTTTACTCTTCATCATGGATATCCGTTAGAGCGTTTAAGCGAGCGAGAAAAGTCTTAAAACATATCGAAAAGTTCAATGGACAAGCATTCTGTACTTTATTCTAAGGATCAATTCAAGAATTATCAGGCTCCATGATGACTTGACTGAAACCTTGAATTTCATGAATAACCGATAATCTACTCAATAGTCTTAAGTAGTGTAATAGGCTTTTGTCTTTCCTTGTATAAATAGCTGTATATTCTTGGTTAACGAGCTGTAAAATATAATGATATATACAGACAAGCGCACAATGAAGCAACAGTGGAAATCACTGTTTTTTCTAGCCTCATAGGAGTCCCACAATAGAGCGAAAGGGCGGTTCAGTGCTTCCAGGTTTTCCACGGTGGTCTAGCTTCAATTGACTCATGATCTCAACCGTTAAAATTACTACAATATCCACAAACTCCTTTTGATATGAAACAGACTAATATGAATTGAATAAGTGTAAAGTATAAGAAAAATAAACAAATGTTTCATTTCTTAGTGTATATTTTGCTTCTTTTTAAAAATAATACAAAGTAGCATATTTTAAGCATAATGAAGATAGAATGATTTTAAGGGACGAGAAGAACATACATAGAATAAATGAAATACGACTAGAGGTGGTATTCATGACGCGCACTTTGTCCTTTTTGGTAATAATTACCTTGGAATATCTGTATCCCAAGTTTGATTTCGAATTAGGGATTCAAATTCAATATCTTATGCTTTGAACGTCGCACGTGTTATCCACTTAGCTACTGAGTTCATATAGCAATTAATTTCTGTAACGGATATAAATTTTAATCTAGTTAACTAATATAATCCAAATTGATGATTGACAATCAGCACAACATCTAGGTGAAATAAGCTTTCTTGCCTATTATCTCTAAGCACCTAACATACATGTTTTGCGTCTACGTGATCAGATTTGAATGTATCATGTTTATGGTCATGAATGTGAATTGTTGACAAGTCCGTAAACTTTTAGTACAACAGTGAAATTAGTTTATGATTAAAATTATTATCTCAACGAACCCCCTCTGTTTTAATATAACTTGCAATCAACTTAACATAGGTGAAACGTTGCAGACAACAATTTTATGACATAACTCACTAACAATAATTAATTGATTCAATTCTTCATGAATTGACATGAGCTGGTGAACTACTTATGATGGATTAGTGTTGTATAACCATTTGATCGTAGTTTTTTAATTAGTGTATCTCATTCATCTCTCTAGATTCGAAGGTCCTAAGATATAGGTACACATCATTGTGAGCAGTAGGTCTTATAATGCAACATTATGTAAATTGATTTTTAATTTGAACAGACACTCGCCCACACTTAATAAATAAATAAATAAATAAATAATGTTTTGAAGTAGAAATAATTGAAACGTTACTTTCCCCTCCATAACAACAAATCTATAGATTTACTAATGTGGATGATTTGTTGCTATGCGTTTATCAATTTGAAATATGAAATATATCAAAATGAAATGGAATATTTACTTGACAATAAGTTAATTACACCTCATTAACAAAACTATAAAATATTGGTATTGAAATAAATATAGTAACAAATTAATTCATCATTATTATCCTAATGATCATTAGTAGTATTTAAGCAATTAGTTAAATTAATTTCTATTTTTACGGATTTAGACCAAATGTATAAAAAATAATTTTGTTTCAACCCAATAACACAAATATCTATTGAATTCATTTGGTATTGATGTTTGCTTGGATCTTTCCATTATTGTTATAGTACTTCAGGCATATCCAGATGACGAGTCTCAAATAAGACGAAATCGTGTGCATCCTGGATTCCACTGCTAACCACTATCCATATATTGAATGTTTATAATTCAGAAATAAATGAAAACACCATCTTCTATGATAAAATAGTTTAATTGTTTTTATTCTTAGTTCTCAGAAGTGTTGAATTCATCAATAGATGGTGCTTCAAATTTAAATCTCAATTTTTTAAGTTTTGAATTATAGGAGTTTTCAGATTTAAAGTATAATGTGTTAGTTAACGAAAAATTGCTAAACAGTTGGTTATAATTTCAATGGTTAAGATCATGAGTCGATTGAAGCTAGACCACTATGAAAAACCTGGAAGCACTGGATAGTCATTTCGTCTTATTGTGGGAGTCCTCAACAGTGCGCATTCACGATCCCGCCTTGCGAGATTCGAACCCAGGATCTATCAGTTAGTTATAAGTTGATTGTTTAACTAAACGAATTGCCCAATTAAAATGCGTATACAGACAATTATGATAACGTAACTAACGTCAGTAGCTAATCACAACAAAGTTAGTTGAAGTACATGCTAATAATCTACAAATGAAGACGATGGTAAACTTATACGCTGAAGACCAACGAATCAGAATTGAGAACACATTATCTAGGTATTTTGCTTGAATACAGTTGATCAATAGAAATACCTTTGTATACGGATCAAAACGTTTACAATACTAGAGAAAAACTGTATTTGACAATCAATGGGTAAAAAATGTATCAAAGACCTTATTTTATCTCTTTAAATTTCATCTACACTATCCCTAATTCTTAACCATAAAACCTTAATTCTAAAACAAACATTTATCCGGTGATACTACATTTTGATGAATAAACTAATTAGACAACTAGACCACTGAGCCTGCATCCAACGGTGTTAATGTCTAACTTCAACCAATCCACGAAATTCCGCCACCGTACACCATTGTCTTCAGTGAGTTCCTATCTCACAACAGACCTGGTTGAACTCCACTGGTAACCACTTCTCACTAGAACTCCAGGAGTGTCTCCTGAAGTCAGTCACTAGTGAGCAAGTGATTATCATTATTATCAGAATGGGTTTTGCGGAGATTTTTTAGAAATTTCACTGGTTGAAATCATGAGTCAATTGAAGCTAGACCACCGTGGAAAACATGGAAGCACTGGACCGCCGTTTCGTCCTAGTATGGGACTCCTCAGCAGTGCGCATTCACCTTCTCGCCCTCCGCGAGATTCGAACTCACTGAAGACAGTGGTGTATGGCGGCGCAACTTCGTGGATTAGTTGAAGTTAGACATTAACACCGTTGGAAGCCGGGTCAGTGGTCTAGTT